AATTGGGTACTTTTCTATCAGTGGTTCCAACTTTTTTTCACTATTATAAACAAAGCTGCAATGAATATTCTTGTGCCTTTGTAGAATAATTCCACTAAGCTTGTTATCTACAAGTATAATAATTTGAGGCATGATGCTTCCCTTCCTAATTCTTAAAAAGTGTACAGCTATTAGTGTTCTATGGGAAAAGAAGTTTTGGTTATGTTTTAGTTAGGTTTTAAGTGGGTCTCAGGTTGGCAAGGGTGTTTTTTAATACGTTTTTTTATTGTGAAAATACCGTACAGAGGGGTTACAATTACATGAACAAGGTAATGAGTATCTTTCTTATCAAGCATTGTTGCCTTCTTTGTTTCCCCTTACCATCCCTGCCCTCTCATCTGGCACTCCCCCAGGGTATACCCACCCCCTCGAAAGGGTGTTCTTCTCCAGTTTACACTTTCCTTTCAGAAGGTGATGCGCTGTTACGCAGCCTTCACTCTCGGCCTCAGAGACTGAAGGAGCACATGAGGCGCCTCCTCGAGGAAGATGCCTTACTGCAGGAGGAGAGTAGCATCTATGACGACATCGTCTTTGTGGATGTTGTTGACACTTACCGAAACGTTCCTGCAAAACTACTGAACTTCTACCAATGGTGGGTTGTGAAACACTTCATCATCATCAAACCCTTGACCTTTCAAAAGTTAGAACTTAGACTGCCATACCTTAGCTCCAGTATATGCCTTAAGTTATTAGGAATAGGTTTAATGGGACTCTTGCCATTCCTTGATCTGTGAAATATACACATGGATAACATGGCTAGATGTTCCTAGCTGTCCCTCCCCTCATTCCTAATACTGGAGTTTGAACTCAGGGCCTCACATTGGCTGGGCAGCCCACCACTTAGCTACTTTGTCAGCCCTTTGGGCGGCTGGCTATTCCTAAATAGGGGCTTAGTTTATGTCTGGGCCGACCTAGACTGCAGTCCTCTTGTTTGTGCTTCCTCTGTAGCTTGAGATGACAGGCAGGCCCCACCCACCCTAGGCAGGATGAAGTCCAGTGAACTTTTTTTTTGCCTCTGACCATAAACTGTGGTTCTTCTCAACTTCCACCTTCCAAGTAGCTAGGATTATAGGCTTGAGCCACTGTGCTGCGCTATAACTCTTAATTTAAAAAAAAAAAATTGGCTCAGAGGCAGTTCTGGACTTTGCAGTCTTTCTTACATCACACTTGGTAAATGGGCACCATACTGTGGAGCCATGCCATGTTTTTCAGTGGTTGCTTGTAGGGTGGGGGCTTACTTCCTACCCAGACACACACCAGTGTGTGTAGCTTTCCTTAGGGGAGAGAGTCTTGTAGATGTTTTTTGCCTGGACTGGTGTGTAGATCTCCTGGTCTCCACCCCAACTAGCTGGGATTTTTTGTTGTTGTTGTTGGTCGTGGGGCTTGAACTCTGGGCCTGGGCACTGTCCCCTGAACTCTTCAGCTCAAGGTGAGTGCTCTACCACTTGAACCACAGTGCCACTTCTGGTTTTCTGGTGGTTTATTGGAGATGAGTCTCTTGGACTTTCCTGCCCAGGCTGGCTTTGAACTTTGATCCTCAGATCTCAGCCTCCTGAGTAGCTAGGATTACAGGTGTGAGCCACCAGCAAGCAGCTAGGAGTTTATCATTCTCAAGATGGTATGAATGCGCCTGTGTGCCAGCACTGAAGGTGGGAGCGAAAGGGATGACATCTGCTGTGATGGGGTGGGGAGGAGCATGGCTGTCAAGAGCCAAGGTTCTGAGGTCAAATAAATTTGGCAGCCTGCTTGTGAAGCGTGATTCACTCCTTGATGTGTTACTTTTCAGTACTCTTTCCATTATCCTTTAAAGCTAGCTGGTCTTATGCTTACTTTGTCAATGGCCCTCCACAGCCGTCAACGAGCTCTCCTGTTCTTGGTGTTAGGAGACACTGCCACACGTGCGGGTAGCCCTGTGAGGCTCTGAATTAGTGTGATGATGCGCTGCTGGTCACCAGCAGGGCTGCACTGACCTACGCATCCTCCTGCCAACAGGACCATGGAGACTACCAGCTTTGCTTTGCTGCTGAAGACGGATGACGACTGTTACATAGACTTAGAAGCCGTGTTTAACAGAATTGTCCAGAAGAATCTGGAGGGGCCAAATGTTTGGTGGGGAAAGTAAGTGAAACACATAGTCTTCTTTTTTAAGCAAATGTGGTTAAGGTATGAGATTCCCTGTGTGAGTCCTGGCCTGCTCTCCTCTCTTTCTCAGGGAATGTTTTCAATGAAAAGCCTCAGGCTGATGGAATGAAGGAAACAGAAAGCTGTAACTTTGATCCTCACACCCTAAAAGTAAATTGTACCTGGAAGCTGCCCTGAGGTCTGAGTGCTGGGCTGCTTCGAGAGCCCCAAGCAGGATTAGTGCCTTTGTGGGTCTTGGTTTCTGTATACAGTAAAATAGAGTGGGCTTCTTACTTTGTTTTGAAACTAAGATGGTTTACCATACTTACCCTTTATATAAAATGCTACCAGGTAAATTCTTTCTCTTTAATCTTTTTTTCTCTTCTCCCCTGCCCTGTAAATGTATTCCTTTGTAGTGGTAACAGGAGTGAAGTCTAATCTGGCAGGATGTACAACCAACACAAAGAACTGTTGAAATCTCAGTTTCAGGTTGAACTGGGCAGTGGACCGGACAGGGAAGTGGCAGGAGCTGGAGTACCCCAGCCCCGCCTACCCCGCCTTTGCATGCGGCTCAGGGTATGTGATCTCCAGGGACATCGTGGACTGGCTGGCTGGCAACTCAGGGAGGCTGAAGACTTACCAGGTAATAGAGGGCTTCTTCACATGTCAGCCCATCTATTCCTAAGCCAGATTGGAAACTGTTTGCTGTCTTCAGCCTGTCTTTTACAAGTGTATTCCATGGAGAAATGCTTTGTTGCCGATTGTGGTAGAGAGCAGCTCTTCCTAGTTCCATAGGTTTTGAACTACAAGCTGGTGAGGGGAGGGGCTGTGTGGATCTTTGTCAGCAGTCACTAGCATTTACTTATATAGTAGTGACCAGTTTGGCCCTTCATGTTGGAATAACAGCACAAGTAGAAAGATAGTTCATTTGGGGGTGGTAGACCTTTATGTTTATAAATGATGTTAGGATTCTGCATTTACACTGTGGGGTTTCATGTACAGGGTGAAGATGTAAGCATGGGCATTTGGATGGCAGCCATAGGACCTAAACGACACCAGGTAAGAAAGCGTCAGGTGCTGCCTCCTAGTGGGAGGGAGGCTTCTATAGGACGAATACTTCCCTGAGCAGAGGGCAGGTTCTGCCTCAGGGACCCTGGCTTTGGTGGGTATTAGAGTCCACCTTATTTACCTCTCACATGATAATTTTCTAAGTGTAAACCAAAGGGAGTGAGAGTTCCCCAACCACAATGTTTTTGTGGTTGGTCAGAAATTCTGGCAGCATGGGCTGGCTTGTGCTGCTGGTGCCCGGCAGGGGTGAGGCCTACGCCCTGGCACATTTACTGTTGAGCCAGAGAAGGAAATGAACCCAGTAGGGGAGGTAAAGCACTTGTTTCATATGATTGCCTTCTGGATCCCAGCAACTTCTACAGTAAATAGAAAGCTCAGTAATGTGATTCCCATGTTCTCATAAAATTTCATTTGCTAGTCTCTTTTTTCCCTGAAAACTTCAGTGTTTCTTTAGTTGACAAAGTAGTAATGGGCATTGCTGGGCTCTGTGAGCTGCTGTAGTGTGCGCTGTTGGCTCCATGTTGTGGGTGGAGCACTGCAGGTGTCCAGGCGCATTGTGTCTCCCCCGACAGCCTGTGGCTGTGGCTCACACATTGTCCAGGCACATGCTGTCTCTCCCTAGGACAGCCTGTGGCTGTGTGAGAAGACATGTGAGACGGGCATGCTGTCCTCCCCTCAGTACTCGCCACGGGAGCTGAGGGCACTGTGGGAGCTGAAGGAGCGCTGCGGTGACCCCTGCCAGTGTGATGCCCGGTCCAGCGAGTCAGCGGGCAGCGGCTAAGGACAGGGCACGAGGATTGCCACCTTGAAGTCAGAAGGAAAAGCCCAATGTTTGGCAATAGGAAAATAATAGTCTTTCTAGATGGTTCTTGGCTGGCACTTTAACCTGTAAGCAGTATGATGTGTCTTAATGTTTGCACAAATCTCCTTAAAGTCAATTCATACTGTAGCATAAAAACAGTTTTTACTTATATATTTAAAGATTTAAGAGATACCAAATTTTTTATAAAAGGAGAAATATTTCTAAGTCCTGATGCACTGTCTCTAATTAGAAATCCATCATGATTACTTTGTTAAAACATGGCCTAGTTCAGAAATTTTTAGTAGTAACTCAGTTTGAATCTCAATTTGGGTTGTAGAAATAGCTTAATGAGAGCAAGTGCAGACTTAAAAAATAAAAAAATGCTGTATGAGCAGTGGTCACTTAAACCAAAGTTTGAGGTTCCTGGAAATGATGTCAGACTTGGAGGATCTGACTGAGTGGGCAACCTTTTTTTAAATATGTCCATTTTTATATGATTAAATCAAGTTCCCTTTTGCCATTTAATCCAGATCCTGAAGACCATATGGTTAGCACTTGTATTGAACACTGAATTTTTTGTGAATGTGAATAAAACATCTCTCAGGGTTTAGTGCCGTGGAGATTTCTAAATGGCAGACACTTGGAGTCAATCCTTTTGCTTCCCTCCTATCTTGTCTAATAATGGTTTAAAATGATTAGTCAGGTGACCTTCTGCAGAGGATATGCTCAGGTTGAGGTATAACTATGAGGCAAGGTATGACTAACTTTTTAAGTACTCTAAAAATAGAAGGCATACACCCAGAGGAGAGCCTGTCTCCCCACTAACCAGCTTGATTTATTAGTAACTGAGAAGATAGGAATTCCATTGAAACTAGTCTTATGACGGACCCTATGATGTCTATACTCATTCAACTAGCAAGCTTTTTTAGTATTTAAGTCTTCCCATAATGAGCTATATAAGATCAGAAAGTCATTAGTCAAAGCCTTTATTATTGCTATTATATATACAAGCCTAGATATGGTTTTTCAGTGGGCCCATCAGTCTATCCACCATTGGTCGTTACCATCGCACTAATAGACAATCTCCATTTTCCATAGAATAAAACTGTAATGGCTTTAGGTCATTTTGTAGTTCAATTTCTCTGCCCGGCATCTAAAATTAGAACCAAGTGAGTGTGAATAAGTGCTGACACGGCATGTTCTACACGCCACACTGTTGAGGGGACTTGTCACTGGGAACTTACTTTGAGACTCTCATATGACAACAGAATATCTGACACAGGAACCTTGAGAAGCCGTGAGAATAGTCCCTTCACCTTTTGGACTGTCATGGAGTCTGTCAAGGGAAAATAAAACAGCTGTCAACCAGCTCATGGGAGGACAGGGCAGTGCAGTGAGGGAAGGGAGTAGGGAAGGCTGAGTCTTCCCCTCCTTGTGTGTCATTTGAAATGGAGCCAATGTCTGACCTCAGTGGCACAGAAAAGGAGTGGCACCCTACCTGCTCAGCAGCATATACAGCAAGTCAGAGGGGGCTCAGAGCCCAAGGACAGTCTCCAGCCTCAGCTTCCCCTCTAAGATAACAGTGTGGACTAAGAGATGGCAGGGCCCCCCTCATCCCCACCTTCCTGCCACTGCTATAAGCAGCCCTGTGACACACACACACATACAACACAACCACCAGCCCTGGGAGTGAAACCAACAAGCAAATGCTTTGGCCTGTTCAGAACATGCTAGAATGTCTTTCCAAAGATGGTTGCAGTAGATAGTGGATATTTTCATAAAAGTTAGTTTTGTTGAAGCTTTAGCTGGAGGTACAGCGATAGTGTGGTGTACCCACAAATACCGCAATGGAGTAAAGTATTTTTCTACCAAATCATTTTTGTAAAAAGCTATGCTTTTATGGAACTTGTAATAAATAAATGTTTATTTTAGAATAAAAACTGCCCTTGTTTGTATACTGGATATATAGAAACTTTGTAGGAATTTCATTCCACTTTGCTCTCATTTGAATACAGATGGGTTTCCTTATTTGGAGGGTGGCAATTGAGGGGCTAAGCCTTGTACACCTGTGGGAAATGGCATATTCCTCACATGTGCCAGCATCTAAATTGTATAGTAACATGACATCTTAACATTATTTGTCTTTGTATCTACCGTGTGCCTAAAGCCAAAATTACATGTTTCCAAGCCTGTGTTCTATGCTCCTGGGAGGAGGTACATGTCTCTTTGCCTAGGCCAGCATGGACTGTGATCCTCCTATCTATGTTTCCCCATATAGATGACAGACACTTGCCACTAAGCCTAACTTGATTGGTTGAAATGGGGTCTTGGGAACTTTGTGTCTAGGCTGACCTTGAATCATGATCATCTCGATTTCTAGCCTCCTGAATAGCAAAGATTACAAGCATGAATCACCATACCCAGCCCACCAAGGGAGACCATTTCAGTGTGTCCATTAAAAACATCTGTGTAGGACAGTAGGCACTGAATATAGGAAGTCATCCTGCCCACTGGCTGGCCGTTTAGTGCACTCAGGTTTGTCTCTTAAAAATAGACAGACTCCAAAGGGAGGACCACAATCTCTGCCTAAGCCCCAGGGTGGCAACCTGCAGGAGGCTTAGACGGCCCTCCATAATCACATGTTGGGGTGGGGACTTCTAATTTAATAGAAATTTTCCTAGTGCATGTGACCAAGACCCAGGAGAGCTGAGTTCTCGGGGGCTGGGAAGTGGCATGACTGATGATGGGTTAGTGACAGCAGTGGGTTCTAAGAGCCACGATTTTAGATACAAATGAATGCTTTAGCTCCAGCTGACTCCTATCTAAGCCTGTGACCCACAGCTATGAGGAAGGTAAAGACAGGTTCATTCTTACCTGGCAGTCGCTTCTCCAGAACTTGCTGGTCAAGCTGACTTGGATATTTTATCTTCAGTGCTTTAAGAGAAAAAGCAAGACAAGGGGCTGGGAAGGTGGCCCAGTGGTAGAGTGCTTGCCTTACATGCATGAGGTCCTGGATTCAACTCCTCAGCACCACATAAACCAAAACAGCTGAAGTGGTACTATGGGTGAAGTGGTACTATGGCTGAAGTGTAGAGCACACCTTGAACTGAAGAGCTCAGAGACAGTGCCCAGGCTCTGAGTTCAAACCCCACAACCAACAAAACACCAATCCCCCCCCCCAACTTAGTTTATTTATAACAAAAACTAGTCTGCCTGGCACTGGTGGCTCATGCCCATAATATCCTAGGCACTCAGTAGGCTGAGATCTGAGGATAGCGGTTTGAAGCTAGCATGTGAGACTCTTATTTCCAATCAAGTACCCCCCAAACAAAACGGAACTGGGATTCAAAGTGGTAGAGCACTAGCATTGAACATAAAAGCTTAGTAACAGAGTCCAATCCCTGAGTTCAAGTTACATGACTGACAAAACAACCAGGCCAACATTGTACTGTTTTCCCTTTCTCTTTCAGTATGCCCTCAATTTAAGTGGGTTAATCACAAATTTGCAAATGAGTGCAATTCACAACTCATGCACCTCCAACATTGGTGACACCATTAAACGAGTTTAGCCTGGGAGTTACAAAAATACTAAGTGTAAGAATTTGATAGATACAGAAAAGTTCATATCTTTGCCACTCTCCTTGAGATGCATACAATCGACCAAGCTGCTGCTAGTGCATTAGCATATAAGTGCAAATACACACACTGTATGAGAATCTGGGTTCTTACTGAGTAGCTGATTTTTGAGCATGAACGGCTGTTGTACTTTGAGTTCCCCATCTTCAGGTGTGCCATATTCTATTGCAGAAAAGATAAGAAGGGGTGAATAAAGACCAGTGTCCCCAAAGGGAAACAATAAACATAGATTACAGCACCTTCTCCTTTGCTAGCACAAGCCTCACCACAGCTGCTCTGCCATGCTGCCATCAGCAGTGTTCTACTCGGGCCGAGGGAAGACACCCCATCTCCCTCAACCCACCTCACTGTGTATCCCAACTTCAGCCAGCCCCACAAAGCAAGGCGCTTGCGGACACCTCAAATGTTTACTCAGATGCTTGGTGTAGGAAACAGATCCCTCCCCTTTGGACACCTCTGCCCAGTTTAGCCTCATGATTGAGTGCCAAGACTGGTCACTTGGTCCACTGCCTTTTCTGGAAATGCTGTACAGTGTTCTCATCTGTGGGACCCATCAAGACCTCGAGAACCAGACCAATAGAGGCTTGTTTTCTACATGGACATACCTATGACCATTTAATTTATAAATGAACAAGAAGTCAATAGAGTACTTTTCACAATACATCCTAATAGACATCACCTTAGTCCCTTGTGGGCATGTGCAAAGGCCCTGGGATACTGTAGGTGTGAGGGGGCAGCAGCTGAAGCCTCATGGCAGGTGGCACATAGTGTGGATACTTGGAACAAAGAATTTGTTCCCTACATTGCTTCACTGAGATATGATTTAAAACAATCAAGTTTTCTTGTCTGCAATTCTTGTCATATGTGGGTCAACAGGAACCAAGAGTGTTATAGTGAGAGGTGTGGGGAATGGGGACACTGAGCCCCAGTACTGTAACTCCAGCACTGCTTCTGTCCCTGGCACTCAGCAGCAAGATGCTGACATCCAAGCTGCTGCCTTAGAACTTTCCTTCCCACCCGTGATGGAAAATTCACCTAGAGTGGCCAGGAAACTAGGACAACTGATGGGGTAAATATGAATGCAATTCCTTCCTCAGAGAAGCATTTATGCAGCAAGCTTGCATTAGGAAATATATAAAAGGGAAAGCTGCATAGGGCTGAAATGGGGCCAGTGGATAGAATTATCAGGACACAGACACAAGAATTCTTAGCTGCGAAGCCCAAAGAACCAGGTGACAGATGAGGAGGATCCACCATGCACAACACGTGCCAAACTGCACAAGGCAGACCCACATCATCACTAGACCCTCACCTGGGTGCATCAGCATGATGCAGGGAGCGCTGGAGACAGTGTGTGCTCTCCAACCCCAAGTAGAACCCCATAGCTGAGGTGAGCACAGGCTTAACTACTTGCCCTCCTCAGGCACAAAACTTCTTTCAGATCCCTCAGCAGTCTCCTGGAGAGAGACACTTGCTAGCTGCCTGCACTCAGTGGGAAGCAGCCCCAATCCATTTAGGTGAGTACAGGGAGAGAAGCAAATGGCCCAGCTGGAAGGCTGTCATGGACTTACTGTCACAGAGAAGCTGGAATCTAGGGTGGGCAGCAAGAAATTCTTCATTTGGTCTGTTTCTGTCTGGATCCTGGTGTCCACCAGCTTTTTTCCATTCATTTCCAAAAGCCTTCTGATAATCCAGCTCTGCTCCACGTCGTTCCTCTGGGAAAATCTATGTTCATGTGACAGAAAAACAAGTCTGTGGAATAGCCTTTTTCTAGCAAGCTGCTGTGTTTTGTGCCCTGACCATCTTCTGCTTTTGCATCATCTGAGGGGAGGTCATCACACTTGCTCCTGTCCCTTTAACACTGCAGTTTACCCTTCTCTACATGAGAGTATTTGTCCACTGAGCATTGCTGGATGATGTGGCATCTCAAGGCTGCGATCTAGGGGCCAGGAGAAGCTGATGAGAACCACAGCACCTGCCAGGCACGGCCTTCCTACTCTTAAGCAGAGTCTGTTCTCTGCCTTCACTGCCCCAAGAAGAGGACAGTGTGCTAGAGCCCCTTGTCCCTTTGTCAGAGGGCAGCAGGGAGAGTTCTTTCTGGCACTGCCATATTTAATCTTTTTCTGTAGGACTGGGACACACATAAGCAAAACACATAAGGCTAATATTTTACCCTTTGAGAGACAGACACATCTGATACCTTCTGCAAGGTCCACTATCATTTTGTAGCTTTAACCCATCCATTTTCTAATCTGGAAAAGATCTAGCCAGGCTTGTGTTTATAATCGTGGTTACTTAGGAAGCTGAGATTGATTAACTCATGGTTTGGGGCCAGCCCAGATAAAAAGTTAGTGAAATACCATCTCACTCAATAATCTGAGTGGTGATGTACATCTGTGATCCCAGCTACTTGTGTGGCTGGGTCAGGAGGATTGCAGAGGAGCAATCTGAAGGTAGACTGGATAAACAGAGCAAGATCCTATCTCAAAAGAGGCCTCACCTGACATTTGTTCAGGGATTTCAGCTGAGCAATTTTGGCAATGATTAGCTGGCGTGTGTTCTGCGCCTCTTTGCTTCCTTCAGTCAAGGGGTTTCTGATGCAGGACAAGGCGTGCAGGCTCTGCAACTTATCGAGCTCATTGATAAATGCCCACTGAAGCCCCACAAAGGCAAAGAAAAGGAAAACATGTCAGGCCATCCTTTCCAGATTCCCTGAACCACAGAAAAGCCCAAGTCCCCAGTTCCAACACAAGGCACCACGCATCACACCCCAGCACCCCACCAGAAGAAAGACTTCGCTCTGCCACTGGCAGGAATGGTGGTCTGCTTTAAGATAACTTCTTGCACAACAATTTTCACTTTTGAGAAGATTCAGGAAGCATCAATCTTTCTCAGAAGAAACCTTCAAGCTTGCCTGCCCCAAGGCAGTTCTTACTTGGGATATCTGATTGTCATTTACCACCAGGTACTGCAAGGCTGGGAACATTGATGTTTTACCCCCTAAAAAAATAGAGTTAAGTTACACATTGCAGAAGTAAAATAGTTCAAGCATAACAGAAAGGGGAGTTCTCTGATGTTCATACCAATTTCAGCATCCGGAAAATGTAAAGAAGAGAGTCCAATGTTGGAAAGGATCAATTGTTCTAATCTGAAATCAAAAGTGTTAAATTTGATTACATAGACAGGACCTGTTCTGGTGTCCTTCTAGTCATCTGGAGCCTACTGTTGGGTCAGGCTAAACAACTCATAGACCCCAAGTTTATGTGAAGGCGTTGGCACTGCCACCAGCATCAAATCTCCATGCTTCAAATTATGTACTAAGTCCATGATGTATAAGTGAACTTTAAAATTCTCCAAAGGGCATCACTCAGTTCAGGAATTATATTACCATCACATGTCGGCCACAATGTACAAGCCAGTTACCTGGGTAGGTAGGCTATGAGGAATAGCTGGTTTTCATTGATATTTGGATTTGAGGAAAGGTCTAATAACTTGACTGTCTGCAGCACATCGGTCGGTCTGTTTGGGAAATAAGAGTTTCCACTCAAATTAATTTCACTTGTTCTCAAAGCTTCAGCCCTACTTCCCATTCCCCCGTTTCTGACCACAAGGACAGGTCTGAAGGACCCATGTGGAAAAGGAGATGCTCTGAGCTCAGGCAAGATGCTGCTGGACCACAGATGTGTACTTGGACCTGATTGGGGAAACTGAGGAATGGTGATTGATCTCTGTGTATTCTTTCTTATAACTGCATGTGAACCCACAACTATCCCAAAGTTTAATTGGAGAAATACTTGCATTTACCTATGTAATAAAACTGTTCTGCACCACAAGATCTAATTAGACTCCCTAGTAATTTAATGTGTATTAACAAAAGAGCAGATGAAGAAACATTTAATTCATTTTAGAGAACACATTTTACGTATCTGGTGAACGAACTTCCATTTAGAAACAGAAGTCAGATGTTTATGAAAAGTAATAAAATTCAAAACTTAATTTAGACCATCTTCCTATTTGTCTCTCCTACCTGGTTTCCTTTATTAGTGTTCCAGTTGACAGTCTAGTCTGACTCCATTGAATGCAAGGCCTGTCCTCCCAGAAGCTAGCTAGTGTTAGATTTAACCAGAGGTGACAAGAAGTATGACCCCCATCATGTGAGTAGCCCCATCACCTTTCTGAGATGGAGATACCATTGGAGGCTAGGTACAGTTCCTGGAGGACTGGCCACTCTGGGGCACACCAAAGCACCTGGGGAGGAAATGGGAGTTCAAGGTTAATGTCCTCACTGCAAGAGCTCTACAGGCATTCCTTCCCTTTGTTACTCTTTCAGAATAAAGTGCCTTGGGGACACGGTCACACAGGCTGTTTAGGCCAAATGGTGGTGGAACAATGGTAAAGGGAATGCAATTTTTTTTGGGGGGGGGGCATTATGAGAGTTTGAACCTAGGATCTTGCACTTGCTCAACTTGCTTGATCACAGCTGGTTCTGAACCCCTCCAATCCAGCTTTTTATTTGGTTGGTCGTGGGGTTTGAACTCTGGGCCTGGGTGCTATCCCTGAGTTCTTCAGCTCAAGGCTAGTGCTCTACCACTTGAGCCACAGCACCACTTCCATTTTTCTGGTGGTTAACTAGAGATAAGAGTCTCACAAACTCTTGCCCAGGCTAGCTTTGAACTGAGATCCTCTGATCTCAGCCTTCTGAGTAGCTAGGATTATAGGTGAGACAGCAGTGCCCAGCTTGGAAGCACACTCTGGGGGCATGGAGGTGGTAAAGCCCTAGTCAGAGAAGGTGCGGGATAGAAGTACACGAGGCTGTGCCGAGGACCCATGAGTCCACTCCAGAGCCCAGCTTTCAGGAAGCAGGCCTTTACACAGAAAAGGTGAGCAGCTCTGCTGTTTGTCCTCTGCCTGAGAACATTAGCCTGAGCTATTTATCAATAGCTAAGTCTGTTGCCTTTAAAGATGCAGCATCTCCTCTCCTCATGACCCAATGTCATTCAAAACCCCAAAAGAAATTCAAATGAACGGAGGGAGAGAAGAACGTGGATTCTGAGACAGAAAGCTCCACTTAAGGCTGGGGGTCTGCTCAAGTGGCAGAGCACCTGCCCAGCCAACATGAGGAGGCCAGGTTGAAATCCCAATCCTACCCCCCAAAAATCTACTTAACTACAATGACACTTTTAACTCCTTTCTGGCAAGCTGTTTAAGGAATACAGTTGTTTGGATAATAGGGTGATTAAAATAAAATCACAGTTACGCTTTAATTCCTTATTTAAAAAATTTAAATTGCTCGTTACTGTGTGATTAAACCAAAGAAATGTGATTACCTCAGCCCATGTTATTCCTGTTTGATTCAGAACTAAAACTTTCAGTGTAGAAAATGTTCCGGTTAGAGACAGTGAGTCAGAGGGAAACTGTAGTTTATTTTCACTGTGAAGAAAAGATAAGAGGTGCTTATTACTATACAGGAGTCAGAATGCAGCCAGCCATGGAAAGCAACCATTAGATTTCATATGAGGGGTTTGGTGTGTTTTCACCTCAGGTGCAATCCTAGGGCTGGGGAGGGGGCTCAGTGGTGGATGCCAGCCTGGTCTATGCAAGGCCCTGGGATCCATCTCCTAGCACCATAAATGAAGAGGAATTTTATCAGCCAAAGGGAGTCAAAATGAGTCCATCCGTACTGTTTGGCATCTGACCCTGCACAACAGTCTTCCCGGGCTTGCCCCATGTGAGCGGCATGGACCTGGCTGGGTGTGGCTCCGGACACTGTAAGATGAAACCTCAGCATCAGATGTCTTACTGAGAGCTGCTTGTGGGCTATAATTCTGCCTCCCCAGTCAGTCAGTCCTGGTGCTGTTAAGAGTGAATGAAAGGGGCTGGGGATGTGGCTTAGTGGTAGAATGCTTGTCTAGCACCCATGAAACCCTGGGTTCAATTCTCAGTACTGTGCTGTGGCTCAAGTGGTAGAGTGCCAGCCTTGAGCAAAAGCAGCACAGGGACAGTGCTCAGGCATTGAATTCAAGCCCCAGACTGGCAAAAAAAAAAAAAAAAAGTTGGTGAAAGGGCACCCTCAAGTTCTCTTGAGAGTCTCACCACAGATTTGATCTTCACAGTCACTTTAAAATACCATTAAAAAACATTAGCCCACATTTCTAACAAGCAAACACCAGCATCGGTTTAAGCACATTAGCTCTGTTTGGGGTCATATTTGTTTAGATCTGACTACAGTCACAGAAATTACGTGAAATTGGTTTAAGAACGAAAGGGGAGCCAGGGAGTACACATGGCTACAACCCCCAGCACTCAGGAGAGGCTGAAGCAGGACTGCAAATTCCAAACCAGCCTGTCTACAAGAAAGAGACAGAGAAATGAAAAATGGAGCTCAGTGGTGCAGCACTTGCCTAGCAGTGTAAGGTCCCGGGTTCCATCCAAGCACCACTAAAAAGTAAAGAAAGGGGAGTGCTGAGCACTTGGAAAGTTAACATTCTGAGATTAAACAGATGTCCAGGAAAGTCTGGGTGCTGTATTCCTAGCTACTTAGGAGGCCAAGATCTGAGGACCGCAGTTCAAAGCCAGCTGGGCAGGAAAATCCATGAAACTATTTCCAATTAAATACCAAAAAGCTGGAAGTGGAACTAACTGTAGTTCCAGTGGTGGTAGAGTGCTAGCCTTGAGCAAAAATGCTCAGGGACAGTGCCTAGATCCTGAGTATATAAGCTCTAGGACCAGCACATAAACACAAAACAAAGTTCAGAAAAGCCTTAGAAACTGATGTTAGTAAAAGAGGGAAAGGCAAATACTTATGAAATTTGAATTAAAAGTATTTCAATGAAACTACAAGCACTTCTCACTGTGTGTATCTTCTCTCCTGGACTACCTACCGTAGCACCGCCAGTTTTCTACCTTTCACTGTCACAGGCTCAAGACACCATGTGCCTTGCCCCTGTCTGGACACACAGGTGCATTCCCAAAATGATGCCTCTGTGACTGTCTAAACATAACCATCAGTGTGCGGCCCTTGAAGTACTGTGAATCTGAGCTTTGAACCCACCAGGCAGCAACTTAGCCTAGTGGTTATCCCACCAAACCTGAGAGGGTCTACTCTGTGACAAGCAAGCAGACCAAGTCCATACCTGAGGTTAAGAGCCTCCAGAAGTGCCAGCTCACCAGCAATTTGAGTCACTTCATCCCAGGATGATAATAGGTTCTGAGACAAATCCACTTCCCTAATATCTAAAAGCACAGGTTAAGAAATGATTTGAAACCATTCATGGAAAACATAAAAGTAATTGCTTCTTAATTCTGGAGCATGGATTTTATTGTTGTTTTGGGGCCTGTCCCAACTAGGATTTTAAACTTTTCAGTTTACATCCGCTTTTCATGAACATATACTACTTTATCTTTTCAGCTGTCCAGTTGTTGGGCTGGGGTGGTAGCTCAGTGGAAGAAGGCTTGCCTAGTCGGGTGCAAAGCCCTAGGCTACATCCCTAACACCAGAACAACAACCAGTTATCTACTGTTCATTCAGAACAACAACAATAAAAATTCATTGACAGTGGGACGTTGGTGGATGATGCTTACAAACCCTACTCAGGAAGCTGACACGAGAATCACAGTTCAAAGCCAGCCTGGGCAGGAAAGTCTGTGAGATTCTTATCTCCAGTTAACCACCCAAACGCCTAAAGTGGAGGTGTGTTAAAGTGGCAGAGTGCTAGCATTGAGCAAAAAGGCTAAGCCCCAGGACAGATGGACAAACACACACAGCATTGAGCCAAAAGGCTAAGGAAGAGTGCCCAGGCCCAGAGTTCAAGCCCCAGGACAGATGGACACACACACATACCATTGAGCAAAAAGGCTAAGGGAGAGTGCCCAGGCACACACACACACACACCATTGAGCAAAAAGGCTAAGGGAGAGTGCCCAGGCACGCACGCACGCACACACACACACACCATTGAGCAAAAAGGCTAAGGGAGAGTGCCCAGGCACGCACACACACACACGCACACACACACACGCACACACACACACACACACACACCATTGAGCAAAAAGGCTAAGGGAGAGTGCCCAGGCACGCACACACACACACACACACACACACCATTGAGCAAAAAGGCTAAGGGAGAGTGCCCAGGCACACCCCCCCCACCGCGCGCGCGCACACACACACACACACACACACACACACACACACACACACACACACACAC